CGTTGAACTCTGGTTTCTGCTCCCTACCCTATGCTACCTCCCCGGTCTGCTTTCTGCTTCTTTCCTAGCTGCCACTGTGCTCCCTATCCCCTCTTTGATCTGCCCTTTGCCACTCATAGAGGCTCCTCATTCCACTTGTGGCATATGCATGCCACAGGTTGACCATCCCTGACCTAACTGGTCTTGCCCTCTTTAAGACTGCCATTTTTCAGAATACAAGTGGATGTGCTTCCTTGAAGAAGACAAAGGGGAAGACAAACAAAAATCAGAGGAAGGGATCTCATAACTCATTGCTACAGCGATGTAGCGTTGGCGACACAAACTATGACACCAATGCTACATCGCTGTAGCTCGTCGCTATGATGACGTAGCGTCCAAAAATAATCACGCACCACCAGGACTTTAGCAAGTACTAACTAAATGACTGCACAAGTACCAAATGCGCAATCAGGGGAATGCGTAGACGTATCCACTACAAGCAGCACAGTAGAAAATTACATAAATTGCTTACAAGCCTGTTTTCCCTTTCCTTATAGAAGTCTGATTCCAATAATGCAAGTAGGTATCATGCAGGTCTACAAAGGAAGAAGTAGGGTAGTGGTCACTAGGCACACAAACTGCTAAAATTCATATAATTCCATGAGAAGCTATACCAAACATTTAAAACTATTTCAAAGCTGTATAGCAATGAGATAACAAGCCATGAAAAGAATGGTTATTACATTCTACAAATATATTTAGCATGAAGATCATATTTACTGACCTAGATTTAGGAAAGGGAGCATTTAGGTACAGTAACCGTGCTCATCTTCATCTGTACACAGTCTCACGTCTTTCATTTACAGGGCAGATGTAAATGCAACTGACAATTTCATGTGGACTCCTCTGCACCATGCCTGCCATGCAGGACAGCAGGATATTGCTGAACTGCTAGTTAAGTCTGGAGCAGTGATAGATGCAGTTGCAATCAACAGTTCAACCCCACTGATGAGAGCCATTGAGAGCTGTAGACTGGATGCAGTGCAGTTTTTAATTGATGCTGGGGCTAAAGTCCAGATGACAAACAGAAAAGGTATGTCTATTTTGTTTGTGCTATATAAAAAGCCTGGAGAGATTTTATTCCTTTGTTGTTTTTGTGTCTGGTGGGTTTTTTTTAACATTTCTGTAAAAGCAGAGATGAGGCAGCATACTATATTTTAAGAGAAATAAGAATCCATTTAAAGATCATCCTGTGCTAAATATCTGGTGGTCAGGATAGTGATCTGGAGACAGAACCAAGGCTAAATGTATAATGGTAATATGCATTTTTTTGTTCTGCAGTGTTTGGGTTTTAGTTTGTAAAAACCAGAACCCACATTTCAAATATCCAGGCTCTTCATCTTTTAGAGAAAAACTGAGTCTCAAACAACTTCTTTATTTATCTGATTTGGTCTTCAAATAAGTATTAAGACTCAATGGGTACATCTACATGAGATGCTTTACTTCGCATTAGCATAGTTTACTGTGAAGTAAGCATGTGCATCTACATGTGCACATTTTTACTTTTCAGTAAACCTGCCTAATCCCAAGTAAATTTGCTATCTGCAGATGCTTGGGATGGGAGGTAAGGATTTCCCAGCCCAAGCCCCATGACTGTGAAGCTCGGGCTCATCTCCCAGCAGCAGCCCCAAAGTGTGGAACCAGCACTGGGAGCTCCCTGCTGGCAGGGGATGGGGAGCTTGTTCCCACCCAAACTCCATGAGTGCAGAGCTGGAGTGGGAGCAAGCTCCCCAGCCTGTTCCCTCCCAGCTCCATGCTCATGGAGCTAGGTGGGGAACAAGCTCCCCAGTCCCTGCCCTGCGTGCCTGAGTGGGGACAGTGTCCTCCTGCTCCGGCAGCAGCCCCTTCTACCTGGTCACTATTGCAGACCGGGGGTGGGAAGCTTGTTCCCTACCTCTGCTCCATGGGCACTTGTACACGTGACCAAAATTGGACATTTTTGCAGTTTAGTTGGATCATGCTGTACATGCTGCCAGTGGGCCCTGAACTGCAGAAAGCCTCAGACCTTCCCTCCACAGTGGTGGCACCTCACGGGTGGCACCCACCCATTAGCAGCCCACCCAAGTGGCCCTGGGGGGCACCGCTGCCACAGAGGGAAGGACCAGGGCCCCCTGTAGCTAAGGGGTCTCTCAGCCCACTGGCAGCTCGGCCCCTGGCCATGGGAGACACAGACAGTCTCCATCAAAAAAATAGGATTGGACCCCACACCATAGCAGTGATGGAAGCCCCTAAATTGAAACGGTGGGTTTTTAATCACTGCAATTAAAAATCCACCATTTCAGTTTGGGGAACTAAGCCCCCATCATGTGTACAAGAGGCCCATGATTGCATTTACAGTTGCGGAGCAGGGGCTGGGAGCTCCCTAGATGGGAACAGTTCCCCACCCAGCCTGGAGGTGGCTGGGATCTGCCCCTGACTGGGACAGGTCCCAGCAGGCCCCAGACTGTACAGGGAAATACATGCAGGCTGGAGGTGGCTGGAGACTGTCCTGTTTCAGGCAGTCCCCAGCCAGCTCTGGGCTGCACCTACAGGCTTCCTCATGCAGCCCAGGATCTGTTCCAGTCACGGGCAGGTCCCAGCCCCATGCCCCAGTCAGGTGGTCAAGGCATAAGGCTTGGAAAGAGCGGTAGGAGTGGGGTAGGTCCCAGCCCCCTACCCCAATTTGCCAGTGGGGCAGCTAGCAGCAAATGAGCACCCAAGGGGAGCCCGGAGCTTCCCCCCGTGGCAGCAGGGGCCTATTGTAGGGCTGCAAGGAACTGGGTACAACTCTGCTCCCTCATCCCCACATGGGTACATGCCTGCCCCAAAACCCTTACTCCAGAGTAGTTTACATGAGAGTAAATTTGGGCCGGAGTAAATGCATGTGTAGATGCACCCAACATGAACAAAAATGTTTGCTTTGGAATACAGCTCTGACAGGGGCTTTTGTAATATACAGAAGGTAGTGAGTTGCTGTCATAGTGAAGTAACACTATGCAGGTGAAGCAAAAGACGAAAGAATTTGAGTCGTGACTAGTGTGTGCATTCTGTCATTCACTATGATCACTCTGTTCTCAGCTTGATTTATGTGGCATCAGTGGGAAATACTTATTCCTATTCAGCATTTGACTGTTGTTCTCCAACAGAGAAAGTAACTAAACAGAAATTCTCTGAATTTATGCAGAAGCATTACTTGGTTGCAATGATAGAGGGAGAGGTAGATTATTTATTTATTAGATGTATATTCTGCCCTATCTAAAAGGCACAGACCAGCTTCCAATGAACCAACAGAAAACTCACAGAACATTCATTAACATTGGTCAAATCTCAGTTGAGAAGCCATAACTTCATTTTATCTAGAAATTATAGCTCTATTATTTTACTTTGGTTTTGCACAATGTTATGAGGGATTCTCAGTAACCACAGTCTGTTGGGTATCATGCAGAAAAAAGCACTCCCAGCAAAATAATTTTCATTCAATGTAAGCAAAATAATTTTCATTCAATGTAAACAAAATAGAAAATTGACCTGGCACTTTAATGAGCTGATGGGATGAGAATCCAACTAATTGGTGTTATCCTGATCTCAGTAGAAAGGTGTAGAGGAGGGGTTCCTTACCTTTTGGGCCCGATGATCTCACGAAGTCATGCAGCTTGGGGAATTCATGCATGCTGGGGAATTCCAGCCCTAAATTTCTGTGAATCTGTGTACTCTGGCCCACATACACTGCTACAGAAACTGGCAGGGGCCAGAAAAGGGCTGTGTTCCCCTTTTGAAGGTCAGTAACTCTAAAGATGCCTTATAGGCCTGAACATTGGAAGCACACAGGAGCTCAAAAGGGGGTCTTTGTAGTGTGTGCCACTATGGGGATGTTGGATTGTGCCCAGTGGTAGGCAGCTGTTACTTTTTACAACCCTAGAGTCTGTGTTTGGATAACTGAGAACTCACTCTAGCCACAAATTTCACAGTGAGCCAGACTGTCAAAGGTGCTCAGCACCCAGTTCCTCCCATGAAGGCCCCTGTATAGGCAGGTCATTTTTCCAAAGGACATAGTGTCCCCAGTGAGGTCTGCTGGAAATGTGACACTTATGTAGATGCCGGATTGCCAAGCTCTTTTGCAAGTCTGGCCCTGTCCATCCCATTTGTGGTCTGTTTACACGACCACAACTCCTTGGCCTAAAAGGGCAAATATTTTTTTAAATATTTCTGTGTAGGTTCTGTGTAAGGGTTTTATTTTAACACAACTGTGAAAAGTTTTCTCTCTTCTTCTTGTGTCCTTGTCATAAACTAGTTGTTTCCCAGAATTGTGCACAAGTGATAACTCTTTCCATTGCTGCAGCAAGGTCCTCCTTTGCATAGGTCTCACCAAGGAGTTGGCAAATAAGCATGTGCTCCATAGTCTGCATTTTGCTGCACTCACATATATTCATGTAATTAATATAGCCCCATTTGATCATAGGATCACAGAACTGGAAGGGACCTGTAAGATTATCGAGTCTGGTCCCCTGCCATGGGCAGGAAGTTATTGGGCTCAGATGAGCTTGACAAGGTGCCTGTCCAGCCCCATCTTGAACACCTCCAAAGCGGGTGACTACACCACCTCTGCTGGGGAATGTGTTCCAGATTCTGGTGACCCTTATAGAAAGAAAGATTTTCTTATATCTAGCCTGAAGTTACCCTCTATTAGCTTATGCCCATTGGTCCTCATCCTCCCTTGAGGTGCCTTCCTGAAGAGTTGCTCCCCTAGTAGATCTTGATGCTCACCCCAATGTACTTGTATGTGGCTATCAAGTCACCTCTCAGCCTTCTCTTACTCAGATTGAAAAGGCCCAGTTCCCAGAGTCTTTCCCTATAGGGCCTATTCTCCATGCTCTTAACCATATGGGTAGCCCTTCTTTGTACCCCTTCTAGCTTATCCATATCCTTCTTAAAGTGTGATGCCCAGAACCGGACACTGTACTCCAGCTGAGGCCTGACCAGCACTGAATAGAGGAGGAGGAGCACCTCTCTGGCTCTATTGGACATGCATCGGCTGATACATGCCAGAGTTCTGTTTGTCTTTCTAGCAACCTCATCTCACTGATGGTTCATATTCATCTTCTGGTCGATTGTAACCCCCAGGTCTTGTTCAGATGCTGTGCCAGCTAGTGGACCACCACCCATCATGTAGTTGTGGTGAGGGTTCTTCCTACCCAGATGAAGGACTTTGCACTTTTCCCCGTTAAACGTCATCTGATTCTGTTCCACCCATGAATACAGTCTGTCAAGGTTGTTCTGGGTCTTTACCTTAATCTCTGATGTGCCCATGCTTCCCCACAACTTGGTATCATCCCCAAACTTAATCATTGAGTTTTCTACCCCTTCATCCAAGTCAATACATATATTAAAGAGCATGGGTCCAAGCACTGATCTTTGGGGGACAACACTGGAGACAGCCATCCAGGATGAGGCCATCCTATTGAATATTGCCCTCTGGGAGAAGCCCCTAAGCCATTTGCCCACCCACCTTACTATAGATTGGTCCAGCCCTGTACCCTCCAGTTTGTTTGAAAGAAGCCCATGGGAAACAGAATCAAAGGTTTTACTGAAGTCTAAGTAAATTATGCCAACCTCATGTCCCTTGTCCAGATGGCTAGTTACCTGGTCGTAGAAGGACACAAGTTTTGTCAGGCATGATCTGCCCTTGACAAAGCCATGCTGGTTGCTTCTTAACACCCAGTAGTTATCAGCTTGTAATTGATGGCCTCCTTAACACATTTTCAAAGATTTTACCCAGCACCGAGGTCAGACTGACCAGTCTGTAGTTTACAGAGTCATCCCACTTCCCTTTCTTAAAGATGGGCACCACACTGGCCCTCTTCCAGTCATCTGGGACCACTCCTGTGTTCCACAACTCTTCAAACAACTTGGCTAGTGGTGCTGCTATAAGCTCAGCCAATTCTTTCAGGACTCTTGGGTGCAGGTTGTCAGACCCAGCAGACTTGAAAACATCCAAGCGTTGTAGGAGATACCTCGCCTGTTCAAGACTGATTTAATGTGTTCTGTTGTCTTCCCCATGTTCCCTGGGCCTCTGGTCAGGTGAACAGCCCCTGAGTTGATTTCAGGAATAAAGATGTGAAGTGTGTATTTAGGAGTTCTGCCTTTTCACGGGCACTGACTGTGGGCTGGCCCTGAGTATTCAGTAGAGGTCCCAGAGTGAAGCCCGATTTCCATCCCCCCACCCCGATCCCTATGTATCTGTAGAAGGACTTTTTGTTGTTTTTTATTCCAGTTATGAGCTTGATCTCCATGCCTGCCTTAGCTTTCTGTGTCTTGTATCTGCAGGCCCTGGCAATACAGGTGTATTCCTCTCTGGTTGCTGAGCCATTCTTCCATTGGTTATATGCTTCTTTTTTCTTTTTCAATAGCTCCCAAATATCCCTGTTGAGCCAAACAGGTCTGTTGGCTCCTTTCCTGCTTTTTGCTTGCATGGGGATGGCCTGTTTTTGACCCGTGAGAATTGCCTCCTTAAGGAAGCAACACCGTTCCTAAACTCCCGAATTGTCCAGTTGCTGGTTGCAGAGGGCCTCTCCAACTAGCCTCTTGAGTTTGCCAAAATCTGCTGCCCTGAAATCTAGGGCTTCTGTTCTGCTGACTGATTTTCCAGTCTTATGGTGGATGGTGTACCTTATGAGGTCATGATCGCTGTCACCCAGAGTACTACCAACCCTCAGGTTGCCTATGATGTCTTCCCCTTTGGTCTACATTAGATCCAGAGTGGCCTTACCCTCAGTAGGCCCTTCCACAATCTGTGTCAGAAACAGATTGTCTATTGTTGCCAAGAAATGGCTGACCTGCTGGAGGTGGCTGAGTGATCCTCCCAACAGATGTCAGGGTAGTTGAGGTCACCTATGACAATCATGTCTCTAGTGCTAGCTGCCTCATTCAGCTCTCTGGAGAATGCCTGATTGCTCACCTCATCTTGTAGTAGACTCCCACCATCATGTCTCAGTCTCCTGATCCCCCTTGTATCCTGACCCAGAGGGTCTCTTGGGACCTTTCACAGCTGTCAAACGTGACCTGCACAGATGGGTACCGCTCTTTCACTTAGAAGGCCACACCTCCTCTCTTCTTCCCAACCTGATCCTTCCTGCAAAGCCTATAGCCCTCAGTATTCACTGCCCAGTCATGTGTGTCATCACACCAGGTCTCCATCAACGCAACCAGATCAAAATTCTTGTCAACTAGAAGGAGTGCCGGTTCCTCCTGTTTACTTCACATGCTTCTGGCACTCCCATAAAGACACCTGAGCTCTCCCCTAGTCACCTTAGGTTTTCTGTCATGCCACCTGTGTCTCAAAATGTCAGTACTTATCTGGACATCCAGGCTTGAACGCCCTCCCATGTGTCATTGTAGCTAGTGGATTCGTGTACAGTAGTGGAACCTTCTCCCTGGCCCCTGGATGTGCCTAGTTTAAAGCCTTTCTCAGCAAGTCAGCAACTCATAGCAAAGAGCTTCTTTCCTCTGCTTGTGAGATGAATACCATCCCTTGCATGTAGACCACTGTAGTTAAACTGCTTACCAAGTTTGAGGTATCCAAAGCCCACATGGTGACACTATCTCCTAAGTCTTTGGTTGACCTCAATCAGAGGGAGGAGTGCATCGAGGCCATGGCCTCTTACTGGGAGGATTGAGGAGAAGACAACTTGTTCTCCTAGGTCCTTTAGCTTCACCCCCATGGCCTTGTAGTCTCTCATGATCCTCCCAGGGCTGCTTCTCACTGTGTCATTGGTGCCCACATGTTTGTTTTTGACCCAGTTTGCATGCACAGGCAATTCAGCCATCACCATGTTGGCCAATCTAGATCTGCCCCTCTTGGAAGGTCTTTCTGGGATTCTAGGTCCATTTCAGAGCACCTAATTTCATGTAATCTTTCCTTCCATAACCTCAGTTGCACCCTATCAGCCATTATATCCAGTGGCACAACACTGGCTACAGAACTCTTTTGCATATTAAGCTGTTTAATTTTTCTGTATGACCATATAGTGGATGCCTGGGATCTTCCATCTGCTGTGATCTTTCTTTTTGGCTTGGTACCGTTCTTCTGATATCAGGTGGCACAATGCCAGCCAGTACGTACAGACTATCCTTTGGTATTGGCTTTAGACATCCTGTTATTTCATGATAGCTGTCATTTAGAATGGGATCTATTTTCTTGGCATGAACTGATCATTTGCATACTGGACATGCATACTTTGCAGTGGAGTAACGCAAGGCAACAGCAGTGGTTCTTAATGTTGCTGGGCTCGCTCCCCAGTTTGAGGTGACCAACTTTGGAAGTCTATTGTTGCAGGTGCTGACCCTCCCTTTTGTCTTCTCTACATGTGCTTTAAAAGTAAATGTTCAGTTCAATGAAACTCCCTGGTACACAGGGTTCAGATGATTATTCAGTGGGATTCCATCCTAGATGATGTTTAATTTCTGCTTCTCTATGGCATATGTAAAAAGCTAAGACCTGTGTCCTAGCATGAAGCTGGTTCTTATTGTAGTAATCTGAGAGGTTGCTCAGTGCACATGTTAATTTGTTCTTGATAGTGGCAAAGTACTTCTCTTGCGACATGATGCAAAGACCATCAACATATATGAAGCGCCTCCTATTATTCTGTATGGGTTGGTCATTGGTATAAATATTAAAAAGGATCTGTGCTAGCACCTTACCCTGTGGGAGGCCATTTCATTGTCATCTCTAGTGGCTCCATTTCTTGCACCGGTCTATGTAAAAACATCTAATCTCCAAAAGAGATTGGATGAGCTGCACTAGGTGGTGGTCATGTGCCATATTGCAGACTTTGGCCAGCAGGCTTCGGTAGTTGACTGTATTGTGTGCCACTGGTAGATCTACAAACACAGCACCTGTTATCATCTCTTTCTCAAATCCATCTTCTACATGCTGGGTGATGTTTAGTATTTGGCTAGTGCAGGACATGTCTGGTGTAAATCTAGCTTGTTGTGGTATTAGATATTGTTCAATATGCAGTGAAAGCCGATTGAAAATAAGGCATTCATAAACCTTATAGAGATGTCATGGAAGTAACACTGGCCTAAAATTCTCTAGCTCAGAGGCATCCTGGCTTTAAAAGAGCTATTACATGGGCTTGTTGCCATAATTTAGGTATTCCAAAGGTTGATGAGCAATTGTTAAAAAGCATAATACCCACAACTTGGTTGCAGGACTGAAGTGTTTGTTCTGTTCTGTGCATAAGTCATTGAGTCCAGTTGCTTTGCCATTCTTCAAGTGACTTATTCTTACTAGAAAGTATAAGTATGTGAAATGTCAAAGTTGTTGCTATAGAGGCTTTATTCCTTGTGCTCCTACACACAGTGGGAATTTGACAAAAACCTTGTTTATAGGAGTGTTCCTGCTATCATGTAAAATGAAATATATGTGTATATATTGCCAATACAGAATATTTATGTTTGTAGTTATTGTCAAAGCATGGGACTGCTATCAGGGGTTTAGGGTATTATTATGGTTGGGGTGTTGAACTCCATAGTTCCTAATGAATTCACAGGGATTTGAAAGTGCTCTGTTAATTCCATGTTCTTCCTTTAAGAGTAACAAACCTTTTGACTGTCCATTGTCCTCCAGTAGGCACTGGAATATGTGGAAATCCCTGATCGTGCAGTACACTGGCTATTTCCTTAGGGGGTGCTGAGTAACCCCAGCTTCAGGAAGTCAGCACTTTGTGGGACCAGGTTCTGCCTGGGTTCAAATACAAGCGACATATGTCATGCTAATAAAGTTGCAAGGCCTGGAAACACCCAAAACAACTTATGGGTATGATTTTTGCAATCCTTAATCACATTCATGGCATTTGTTCCTGCAGACACACCCAGCGATGGCATACAGGTTGTTGCATATGTAAACAGTGTTTAACAGGTAGTGAGACAGTTCTGTAGATTGCAGTGAATTATGCAGTTACAGCCACCAGAGCTATGGTCTGTTTCCTTGGATAATTCAGCTACCGCTGCTGCTTCTTACCATTCACACTGTTTCTGTTAAACAGGACAGAATACTTTGGATATTGCAAAAGCATATGCTGATTTTAGATTAATCAACTTGCTGCAGGAGAAACTGGACCGTCTACCAAAGGCAGCAGAGAACAAAGTGGAAAAAGGGAAAAAAGCTGGCAAACCCCAGCCATCTCCTAAGCCCAAGCCGAAGCCTGAAGAGGCTGAAGCAGTGAAAGAAGAGGTATGATACCTGGGGAAGGGTAATGAGAAATCGCGAAAGAGATTTGTTTTTTTCCATAGGCCAGTGTTTATAAATGATTTGCATTTAGTTTCCCTCCAAACTTTTGCATACAGACACTTTTACAAAGTGCTTTTACAAGCAATCGTAAGTAGGTAGCTCATCTGGTAGTTTAGGCACTAGCCTGTGCATCAGATCTGCATTCAGTCCCCACTCTGCCACAAGTTTGTCTAATATTGAGCATGAAGGCAGTCACTTTTATGCACAAATTAAATAAGATACACACACATATTATATAAAACAGACCATGGGGATTGTCCTGTCTATATAAATTAGAAACTCTTTGGGGAAAAAGCAGATGCCTCTAGGTGGTATTGTGTTCATATTCTTCTTATGGCAGATGTAGAACACCCCAAGACAAGTAAGAGCTCAAAAGTCTCAACTTTCACTCCAGTTGCTATTTCTCTGGGCCCATGTACCCCTACCTTTCACAGTTACCAGTGCCCCACCATGTATTCACACCACGTTCACTTCCTACAGGCATAATACAAGTCCCTTTTTTCCTATAGCATTACCAATTCTTTAACATTTTCAACCCAATAGACTCAGAACAAAATAAGAATATTGCGGATTAGATTGGTAGAAAACATGATGCGATGGGCATTGCATGGACACTAGAGATGTCCCAGTGGGTTTAGTGACTGAGTAGCAACCTGGAGCTCAGAGATATGTAGAAAGTTACAGAACAAGAGCTCAGTGGTCATCCCTTGGCTATAGCCAAACTGTCCCAACAGGATCTGCAGGAAACATCCTGCATCTGCACTGCACCAGAAATAGCTTCAGGTTACTTCATGAGTGGGAGTAATCAGTTATGAAGTAACAAGAACCCAACAGTGTATTGCAGAAGGGGAGACTGAGGCATGGAGGTGTTAGGTGTTTCGCCCAAGGTCACACAGGAGGGCTGTGGCAGAGCCAGAAAGAGTATCTGGATCTTCAGAGGCTCAAACCTTTACCTAAAAGCTCAGCCTTACTCTCTGCTCACATGTGCAGTCAGAACACAAACCCCTTTGATCCCTTGTATCATTTGGGCTGAGCGCTGTTATCAATCAGAAGATTTTGCAACTCAAAGCCAGGAAGGAACATAATTACTGTCATACCTATGGGCATCTAAACATCTTATTGTAGCTCTTGACTATAGTTTAGATCAGCCTAGAGCCTAGAGCTCTTGACTATAGCCTAGAGCAGTGGTTCTCAATCAGGGGTTCGCAGTCCCCTGGGGGCTGCAAGCAGGATTCAGGGGTCCCTGGGGGCTGCAGATCTGGTGCAGTCATGATCTCTGAGGTCAGCTGAGGTACCCCACACCTGGGCTGAGTCTGTTGCCACTGCCAGGCTCACAGAAAAGTATGGATTTTCTCCTTTAAAGGAGAAGAATGTGGGAAACCATAGGTTTCCCTTTGAAGGCTAGTAGCGTTCCAGCGTTCAAGGGGCTGCCTGAGGCTGGGAGGAGCAGGAGGAGGCCGATATGGCACACATGCACGTAGCAGCCAAGCAGCAGTGTAGAGCAGCTCCCCACAGGTAAGCTGGGAGGGGAGGGGGCATGGACAACGTGTTGAAGGGTGGGGGGACACATGCCCCCATCTCCCCCTGATTTCTGTGCCCACAATGGGCATAGGGCTGCAGCCTGGCCAGACTGGCCAGCAGGACCTAGCATGGGAGGGACCTAGCATGGGAGGGTTGGGAGTGATGGGCACCAGCAGGGGGCTGCAGGTTGGGAGTGAGGGGGACCTCAAGTCCAAAAAAGGTTGAGAACCACTTGCCTAGAGTACTTCTTTTGTTTGAAGTTAGTGCTTTGAAAAGCTCCATGTTGTCAGGACACTGCTGCTACTTTGAAATAGCAAAGTACTTGTTCATCCATTACAACTGTGAATTAATTAATTATCCTAGAACAGTGTCACTCACTACCCTGCCTGCTGCCTGGCAGTCCAATAGCTACACATTTTACAGAATAGAAGTGAAGGGGAAAGAAATGCCTTTGGCTCCCACATAATCTATATAGTCATCCCTGCATGGTACTGTAAAGACTGAGTGGCAGAGGACCAGGATTTCTTAAAAGGAAATGCTATTTCTTGAGATAATTTGGCCTGATCGGGAAGCTCCTGAAATTATTGGAAAGACTTCCATTGAGATAATTAGTAATTGAGCCAGGCCTGCTGATTTTTTTTCTCTTCTTCAAACTGGGTCTGTGGATTATCTCATATGCTACCTCTTTACATGTTGACTGAAATAATTGAGTCCTATTTTTCAAGCTCTGAATCTGTTCTACTTGAATGTTCTGTTCCCTTACACATTTGCTGCAGCCTTGCCAGAACCCTGAGTACCTTATCATTGTCCCCTAATTCACCAGCAAATGCTGACTGTAATGGTTTCACTGTGCTTATGGCACTTCAAATTAGGTCTCTCTCCTGAGCTTTTCAGGGCTGCTTATTAATCAGCCCCAGGGGATGGTATTTACAGACCAAAAGCAAATACTCCTTCTGGGGCAAAAAGGGCTTTTTCTATAGCAGTCCTGCCCTTGGAGGATAAGTGACTAGGGCAAAAAGACAAATTCTGGTCCCCAACTCCATGGTGTAGGGACTACTATAGCCTCTGAGCTTCCAGCATGCTTTTAGTTAATGACTTGTTAAATGTGTGGAACATGGAGAAAACACCAAGTCTAAACAGTTCAGCTGATTCTTGTGCAAGCATTAAAATTTCCTGTAAATTCCCCAGCATCCCAATTTACTAAGTGCTTCCCTTATTTGTATTATTGGGAAATGTTTATAGATTCTCTTGAAAAACTTGATTCTGTAATGAAAATGCTTTCCAGGCTGGCCATGTCACTTCCCTCCCTTCTGCCCAGATGGTGAGTAAAAGAAATTCTAGATGTTGTAGGATGCAACCATTGTTTGAACACCTGATATATTTGTTTAGTTGATGCTTGCTTGTGTTTCAGGTTGCACAGATACCTCTGCCAATTGTAGAAAAATCTATTTTCGAAGAGAAGGAAGAATCCCCTATGGACAATGTTATTCATCTGAATTCACTGATAACCAGCGGCGCTACTAAGAAAGTTGATATCACATATATACCCAGAAAAGTAAGTCTGTTAGCAGAACCTGAATAATGCTGTGTTTTGACACTGAAATGAGGATGATAATAAGCTCAGATGCTTGGCAGGTGTAAATGCATACAGCTTGACTGCAGTCAGATTTAGGTCATAGGAGCAGGACCCTTTTACACCAACAAACCACCTGGCCTAACATATTTAGAAATGTCACAAATGTTCAGCTTTTTTCATGATATGGAGTCAGGATTTTCCAGATTTAGTGTTAGTGAACGTGTGTGCACAACACTTTAAAGCGGGCTAAATGCTCTTGCACCACTTTAATAGTGTTGGTGTTTGCATGCCTCAATGGCGTATTGCACATTAATTGCAGCTGCTGTAGGAAATTCAGCGGTGTAATGTGCCTCAAATGACTTGAGGCGCAGCAAACTAAAACTCCTCTAAGGAATTCTATAGCAGTCCTGTCCTTGGTGACCTAGAGCATGGAGGAGTTTTAGCCTCTAAGGAGTTTTAGTTTGCTGCCCCTACAGCTGCAGAGTGAAGCACTGGGCTCTGTGCAGCTCCGCAGCTCTACAGGAAGCCCTGCAGCAGCCCGGGAAGGCAGGCTTTGCCCAAGAAAAGTGGCAAGCCTGATCTTTTTTTTTCCTCCTGGAGCCTGCCTGCGTGCTTGAGCTGCACACGGGCTTGGTGCTTCCCTCCGTGGCTGCAGTGCACCCTGCGACTGCCCGAGCAGGGTGCTTGCAGGCGGGTACTGCCTGGGGGGCGGGGCGGGCACCGCTGCCACAGGGGGAAGCATCAGCCCCCCTCCGCAGCCCAGGGACTGCTCCGCCTGCTGGCAGCTCACCCTCCCCTCCCCACCAGAGAGGCAGGTAAGTCAGAGGGGTGTGTGCATGACACAGGGGCTTAATTAGCCCTAAACTGAAGCAGTGTTTTTTAAAACCTACTGCTTGAATTTAGGGCCCCCGTTTTGGCTCCACATGCCCAGTATGAGCATGGATCCATATAACTGTCTAAATCTTGTCGAAGCCTGCGAGGATCTTGACTTCATTGAAATCTCAAAGAAAGCATTTTCTTCTGACTGAGTGCAAATTAATGTCTCCGGCATTTTTTATTTTACTTCCAATCAGTAGATCATAACATGCAACAGTCTAGTAAAAATAAAGGTGTTTTTTTCTCTGAAAAACAGTTACCATTTCAGCAATGATTGTGTGACAAGGTGCAAGTGTGATCCCAAGCTGACAAGATCCATGTTTTTAATCTCTTCTACAGCTGTTTGTGGGACTGGCTGCAAGAATAAGAGCTTTGAAAACAAAGAGTGGTGGGGAGGGGGGTTCTTGAAAAGCCAGGCTGCCATTTGACTGGTGTAAGGAGTTGTTCAATTATATTTTAAAAAGTCATTGAGAAAATAAATTCACATTATTCACATTTACCTTTGAGGAAAAGGCCCAGCTAAAGACAACTTTTTGGATTTTTTTTTAAACAGCCAAGTGTCTTTTCTCACTAGATAAGGACCATAAAAACACTTTAATTGGGATTGGCCTGTGGAATTTACTGCCACAAGATTTTACTGACGTCAAGATCTTAGCAGGATCCAATAGGGGATTAGATAATTATAGAGTTCCATGTTTACAGTAATACATATTAAAACTAAATAAGATGTTTTAAAAATACAAATCCATATGCTTCAGAGAATAAACCATCTTCTCACTGATGGGAATTAGGAGAGAATTTTCCCCAGCATGTTGTCCCACAGTTGCCTATTTGAAGGTTTATTATACCTTCCTCGGAAGCAGCTGCTGCTAGCTGCTCCTAGTGACAGGTTACTGGATGGAAAAAAAAAATCACTGCTCTGATCCTGTGTGGCAATTCTTGCTTCACTAAATTATTGTAACTTGAGGTAACACACACACCAGGGATCCCTCCAAGGCAACCCTCTTAGCTGCAGATAAATTTACGGCAGGAGTGTCAAACTCACCTGGGGCTTAGGGTTGGATCAGGAACACAGGACTTCTTGTGGGACTAGTCCAGACTGAGCTATAGGGGCAGCTGCTGTGTCCACTGCAGTGGTAGGGACTGGGGTGATGGTGGTGGGTCCAGAGGGGGCAGTGGTTGTCTGGAGATGGTGACGGATTTCAGGATGGGGGAGCAGGTCTGATGGTGGCAGGAGTCTGGGAGTGGCAGTCTGGCAGTGGTTGGAGTGTGGCGCCATATCCAGACATGCAGGCCATGTTGTTTGTGGTGCCACAAACCTCTTTGAGGCACTGGAAACAGCACACAAGGAATATTAAAACATGGCCTGTGCTGCAGATTTGCAGTGTGGGTTGAAATTTAACAAAAAAACCCTCAAAAACCCTGGGGGAAAAAAAGCAGTGCAATGCATGTCCAAGAAGCCTGTCTACTGGCCAGGCCTTCATGCTGCCTGACCTGTGTTCCTGCTGCTCCAGGCCACCGGGGAAGACTGCTGAGGCCAACACCAGTGGTGGCTCCAGCCTGCAGTTCTCCCTGGCAGAAGACTTAGGAGGTGCTGGGCACAGATGCAGGGGCGTGCACTGTGGCAATTTCTGTTGCTGCAGGTGCGTGCCCCTGCATGTCTGGACATGGCCTGGGGTATGTAACAGGGTTCAGAGACAGCTGTGGCAGCAAGCCAAACTCACCACCAATGGCTATAGCCAGTGGGGCCGAACAGTCCTGCATTCTGTGACAGGCTACATCCCCAAACTTCTGGTGGCCTGCTGGTAGCCCAGCAGGCTGGACAGAGAGGCTCCACAGGCCAGATCCAACCCACAGGCTGTTTGACACCACTGATCTATAGAGGCAACAATCAGATCCCAGTCCTCTTTCAAAAACTTATCTTAAGACATTTCTCCTTCAGTAACAATGCTCTGCCTGCTGTAAGTACTTGCAGCTTCCTTTATTGCACAAGACTACACATTTTGAAACCATGAATGACTTTGGCAGGAGTGTTTGCCACCCACTTTGTCTTTGATGCCACGTAACAGTGACAGAGGAGGCTTGTTAGAATAAGAAAGCATCACTCCTAAAGGTACTTTCCCTGTGTTTCCGTATGGAGTTATTGCCTACTAACTTCCTTCAGTCAGAGTTTCAAAAGAAAGAAGTAGTGTGCATAGTATACTCTTGCAATGATGATGCAGTGAATCACTTCTGATCCTTTGGGATGAGTAAACCAGATTCATTTGGCAATTTAAATCATAGACTCATATAATCATAGAAAATTAGGGTTGGAAGGAACCTCAGGAGGTCATCTAGTCCAGTCCCCTGCTCAAAGCAGGGCCGTCCCTAACTAGATCAATCCAGCCAAAGCTTTGTCTAGCTGGGTCTTGAAAACCTCCCAGGATGGGAATTCCAGAACTTCTCTGGATAACCTGTTCCAGTGCTTTACCACCCTCCTAGTGAGAGCTCTCTCAATCACCACGTGTTTTCAAACACAATGGCCAGCAGCTCTGCAAACATATTAGCCAGCTCCCTCGGTACCCTCAGATGCATTGCATCTGGTCTCATGGACTTGTACACATCCAGCTTTTCTAAATAGTCCCTAACCTATTCTTTTGCCATTGGCTGCTCACCTCCTTCACAAACTGTGCTGCCATGTGCAGTGTCTGGGAGCTGATCTCACCTGTGAAGACTGAGGTGAAAAAGGCTTTGAGTACTTCAGCCTTTTCTGCATCATCTGTCACTAGGTTACCTCCCCATTCAGGGAGGAACCCACACTTTCCCTGATTTTCCTCTTGTTACTGACATACTTGTAGAAACCCTTCTTGTTACCCTTCACATTCCTTCCTAGTGGCAACTTCAGCTTTGGCCTTCCTCTTCCCTAGTTGTCTCTCCAAGTCTCCACTTCTTGTAAGCTTCTAGGCCTGTGAGAAGCAGCAAGTATTTGCTTCAGATTCAGATTTGGATTTGGCTGATTTGGAGGGACAGTGATTCGATTCAGTGATTCAAATCACTGTCCTTATTCGATTCAGCTAATTCAGATCTGGAGTTTGGCACCAATTTGGAGATTTGGCCATAGACGATACAGGCAGCCGTCCTCAGTGTTGCTGGACACAGCTGCCTCCAGCTGGTAAGTCTGTTGTGGTGGACAGAGGAGGGGGGAGGGAAATGGTATGGGTGGGGGCAGATAAATGCCTCCACAGCAAAGC